GATTGCTTCTCTCGTTTGAGATATTCCTGGATCTCTCTTACATGCTTTTGACGAAGATGTTTCTCGATATCGCTCATATTCTTAACAAAGTTCTCAACATAGTGACGCAGCTCCTGAATGTCTCTTAGTTTACCTACAACGAAAAGAGACACTTGTTTCAACGTGAATTAAAATACCATGAGCACTATGAAATATCTTTCAAATCCATTGTTTAAATTTTTATCGATTTAATGATTATGTAATTACTACAGAAGTGTAGTATGGGCATCCTGTGAAATASATTTTCGTGGGTCGATACCGTGTCGGTGCCSGATCCAGGTAGTTTTTTCGGGGATAATCACCTCTTGAGACCTTTTACCCTTTTCCATGCGACTATTTTTTCGTATGTAGAAACCTGCAGCCCTCCTTGAATAAAATCCTGTTGCGCGATATACGTTACGTAGAGCAGAAGTCTTGATTACTATTACTTACATTCCAGTTGTTGTGACGACTTGTCTTTGTAATATTCATAAACACAACCAGCTATGATGAGGATTACCAGTGAGACAGCAAGCGTGATGACGGTGTTCTTGAACAAAATGGTTGTCGAACTAATAAGGTTGATGCTGTAATGCACGATTTGAGGAATCTCGTCATGCTGAAAATAAAGGGTGATATTCAATTTTTTTAAGAAACGACCGTGACAGTCTTGTAAATGTTGGTAACTGTGAAAAGCATGCAAAGATTCCAGTAGACATTTATCTTGTGRGCACTGATTTCGTATCAGCCTTGTGTGATGAAGTTGTATAAGACCGATCAGCATTATTGAGGTTCACGCATTAATGTCAACGATGATCGGCCCCATCATTTTCATCTTTCTTATAGCTTACATTTTCAATTATTTGAACAATCCCAGCGACTCGACGAAAGATTTCAGCTCTTCTGCCCTGTATGTAGCGGTAGAAACATCGTCTTAATCTAGAAGAATTTCCCGCCAAGACGATTCCATAAGCAGGTTTCACATCGTAGATCTTTGAAAGCTTTAAACTTGGATGCTCGAAGAGATCTCTGTGGTTGCCAATAGCATATCCATCAATAAAAGCTCCGTAGACTTTTCTTTGTATCAAAATATCGTACAATTCTTGGAACGATTTTGGCTTGAAATCTGAAGATGTTGAGAAAGTATCAGTAACTGCACCGGACGTCTGCTTCGATTAAAGTCTTACCTTGATTTATGTTGGCGTTCAGGCGCTTTCCGAGAAGGAATTCAGGCGAATTATGAATTGCGGCGATCTGTAAAACAAAACAAAAATATAAAATGGTTCCAATACCAGAAAATGAAGTATGTTCTTGTCTCGATAAAAGATTTAAAATGGAGGCTGGTCCTAGTTTTTTTTACAAGTTTCAACGCGAAGTGTCTCCATCCCCMCTAATCGTGCTGTTTTTGTCTTTTGATAAAAAGTAAAAACAAACAAGCAAAGCATGATTAAAAAAGACTCGGCGTTTRAAACGGGACATTACTTCAGGTCCGGGTTGTTCAAAGCCCGACTAGGGTTAACCCAGGGTTAACTCCATGGGTTTTCTAAGAGTTAACCCAGACTAATTAGCGCTAATCGGGTTTTGAACGACCCGGCCAAGGACACATTCAGATGCTTGTGATTTGAATACTTACAGGTTTCGTAGCAACGTCTCCACTGTAAGAAATTGTTTTAGTAGTAAGGAAGTTGGAAAGAAAGCTTAACAACATCAAAGTAATAATAATCCCTGTTAACATCCAGACAATGGCAAACAGTTTTCCCTTGAATGTTATGGGATATCGATCGCCATATCTGAGGAGAAATGCCGTATTGGTATAAATTGGAGGCATGRTGCATCATGGGAAGCTTTTATATCAAAATATCTATTTACTTACCCAAGTGTTGTCATAGTGATAAAGGACCACCAAAATGATTCATATGTACCTTGAATGTAAGAGGGTGGGAAGAGCTCCTTGTTGTCATCCCTTTCCTATGAAAGCAAGAAAACATTTGGCAGTTTAGATAGATCTGGGAGAGTTCACTGGAAGTTGGGCACAAGAAACTTTATTGTCGGTAATGATAATACGTTTGAGGAAATAAAAGGGACATCAAGAGATGACAACAGATCATAGCTAGGTGAGAGTGGTAGTCCAGAATTGGTTTTACAAATAATAAATAAGTCAAAAGCAACAATATAGGTCAGAAAACTAATTCTTATATTTCTTACCAATAACCACATAACAAAACCTGCCAAGTACGCAATGCACATAGTAACAATGATATACACCAAAGTATGAAGAATGCTTTTAATCGTTGTTCTACTTGGACCATCAGGGTTCTCATACTCAAACTCGAAATCTTTATTCAATACAAGAACWATTCCCGGCGACCCAATCAATGCCCGGTAGCCAAACCCTCCGGGATATGCCTTCTGATCCATAGATCCATAAATCGGGAAAGTAAAATCGATGTCATCAGAGATGTTTGTTTTTAGGTCGTCTTCGTTTACTTTGATAGCTGGGGAGCCGTCTGGATTTGTGAAGAAATTCACAACTGACTTGTTATAAGAAGAACAACGTCCACAACATTCTTCAGTCATGGTCTTGATGACTTGAGGTAGAATACCTCCAGGACCACCAGTGGTATTGGATACATTAACATACGGCTCGTACTCGCGCCAGTTGGCGTACAATGTTCTGTGACATCGACAGGTTTCTATAAAAGATGAAAAAAAAAAAAACAACGCACACAATCATCATCTAATTATCATTTTCATCATATTATTGATTGATCTTCTTGCCTTAAAYATTTGGTTTAGTATCACAAAGACCACTTACCTCCATACATTACATTTTCAGGGCCATGACCTTTTTCAGTGAATGCCGATACACCAATCTTGTATCTTCCGTAGATTTCTAAATGTTTCAAGGTTACTTCCGTTGACCTCAGAGTTAATTCATTSACAGGAGCCTCTTCAATCGGTTCTTCTCCCAATGAAATCAATTGGTATGTAACTCGATATCCAAGAACTACACCATTGGCTAACGCTTCTGATACTGGTGCCCAGTTCACATATATCGAATCAACAGCAAAATGTGAAGGAATGGCAGGCTTTTCAGGTTTACCATCTGGGGCTGTGTATTATGAAATAAWAACCTTTAAATTGTATTGTTCAATTATACATATCAGCGTTTGTTTTTTTTCTCCCTCTGTAAAAGGCAAAGGAAGTATTGCCTACCTGCCTCTTTTGTTTGCAAAGTTATGGAGGACGGAACACCCCAACCTTTATCTGTTGATGCAGAAATGTTTATTGTGTAATAAGTGAAAGGCTTGAGATTCTGTACMACCACTAGATTAGCTGACAAAGCAATCACTTCCTCTGATACCAACGATGACGACGTTGTTTGAACTACGACAACCTAAGAAGGTATAAAATTCTAAATAATCTGCGATTTCCGCGGAGCCATTGCAGCTTGGTGGAGAAAAATTACCTTATAACCTATAGCAAGCACACCATTACGATCTTGTGGTGGAACTGGACCAAGTGTTATCAGGAAATTATAAGGGGTTGCCTCAATCACAGTTAGTCCACTTGGTCCACCAGACGGAACTAGATAGAGAAAGTGAGTGTTCATRGAAATATATGTTCGTATTCGGTAATGTCAGCCTTTTGAAATTAGAACATGATAACATCATTTTTAAAAGCTGGTAAAAAATCCCCGCCCCCTCCTTCTCGTTTACAATAAACAAAGCTATTTCGTACTTACTGTCGGAGTTAGTCATTACAATTACGGGTAGACTACGATTTCCATCAGTAATCGTCACAGCTACCATAACTACTTCAAACTGCGTGTACTTATAAAGACCTTCAACCACTAYGCTCCGTGTTGTCGCTGGTGTCGTTACAGAATAGTTCATSGTAGGRAACACAGAACCTTGTGAAGTGAYTATAACGCGGTAATTCCKCAGTATTCCTCTAAGGAAGGTAGTATTGCTTGCTTCCCACGTGACGTTTATTGACGTAGAACTCAGGGTTGTTGCTGTAAGGTTTGTAGGTGGAAGYGGGGCTATAATGATAGAAATGATAGGGCAATGACTGGAAAGTATTCATGAAGATAACAAAACATGGATATAACAAAAGTGACACTGCTGCGTATAATAACACGAGACTATTTTACTCAAGATATCTCATTTACAATAGTGACTTGTGAGTTATGTTACCTTCCTCTAAAGTAGTGACAAGAACCTTTGAGCTCCATGGTCCCGATCCTTTCAYRGTCATGCCGCTTATAATGACAGTGTAGTTCGTCCAAGCCACGAGTCCTCCAACKATAGYATCAAGAGCGCTGCCATTATTGACAAAGAGRYTCTGCTGYAGACTTCCATTYATRTGGTTGATGGATAGGTTATAGCCTATTATAACACCATGCTGTTTTTCAAGTGCAATGGGTGCCCAAGAAAGAGAAACTTCTGAGGTACTCAATCCACTGCCAGTCAACAAAGGCGCCTCACCTGGAACTGAAAACAAACCAGTTTAGGATGTAAGCTCCAATTGCTGTAATTGAATGAAATGAACCATTAAGTTTACCATCCTCGTCTGTAGTAACTTTAAAAATCTTTGATAAGTTCCCAGTCCCTGGAGTCGTGAACCCAGCAACACTGACGTCATAGGTAGTGAATTTACTGAGATTTCTGAGAGTTACGTTCAGTGTTGATTGATCAATAGTTTCTACCATTGGTGTCAAACTAGGCTTGTCGGACCGTTGATAAAACACTTGGTAACCACGGAAGATTCCATGACGAAAGGTTTCYGGTATTGGTTGCCATGCAACGTCAAGTGTGGTAGAACTCGAATTATGGACGGTTATGTTTGGAGGTGGAGCACTAGGAACTAAGTAGTTAAMAAGATTTACATCAAGAAAAGTTAGCAGAAARTTGAATWATTTTGAGTAACCTACCATCTTCAGCTGTAGTTGCGTTMGTTKTAAAGAAAACCCCGTTTTCCACAGTAAATGCTTGAATTCGTATGSTGTACATGGTAAACTTCTTTAGACCTTCGATTTGAAAAGTCTGTGAAGACGATGCGCTGTCAACATTCCTTCTCTTTCTTCTCCTTTCAGAATTAATCACGGACAACGTTTTATTGAAGATTACAGGATTKACAGCTTGGGTTTCAAACCAGATAACCACATAGCCTCGAAGTTTGCCGTTGATATGTGTGATGGGCGGTGGCTGCCACGTGATTATTAACCCAGAAGAACTTGTGTTGTGCGATGTTACATTTTGGGGTGGAGCATCGGGCGCTAGAATGATCAAATAAAATAGTTTATATGTTATAATMGATCTTAGGGATCAAAACGATAGTATAGTTAACCTACCAGACTCGGMGGTCTGGAAATGGAGTATAGTGGCATTGCCGAAACCAGCACGAGTGAACGCTTTTACAGAAACGGTGTACGACGTATATGAGAAGAGGTCCTGAAGAATAAGGCYAGTTTGATTGATACAGACRAAKWTGTTGAAGTTCTCMTTTCTCAACGTATCWTGGACACTAATCATATATCCTTGAAGTACGCCCCGGACATCTGATGGAAGGACTGGGTTCCATTTTACAACAGAGCTGTTCTTTGTAATAGTACCAGCAGATGCATTGGACACTGGAACGTTAGGCACTGGAAGCACGACAAATTATAGCAATTAACAGGAAAGCATGACATGAAATATCAAACACTTTAAGAGTTACCTTCTTCCGCTGTTTGWACGATGAATTGAGAGCTGAATACCCCAACACCTTTTCGATTGATTCCAGCAACTCTAACATCGTACGTGGTATATGGTATCAGACCATCAATCCACTGATACATGATACTACTGTCATTTATCCGAACTGTAGTATTTGTTTCGTTATTTGGATACTGTAGGTACATTACTGCATATCCTAAAACTGGAGAGAATGATGATTCACTTGGTAGAGCATCCCATGTTATATTCATAGATGTAAGACCAACTTGACCAGCTGTACCAACCCACGTCGGTGGAAGACTTGGGGCTGTAATAATACGAAGTGATGTAAAAAAAAGATACATCAAATCTGGACATGGATAAAACTCTATCGTATGTAAATCAGGATCTCAAAGATGACATTTATGACCTTACGAAATATTATGACATTCATGACATTTATGGCCTTACGAAATATTATGACATTCATGACATTTATGGCCTTACGAAATGTATTTTTGCACTTATTGCTGGCTATTATACTACTCACATGTTGATCGGGTGAGAGAGGAAAGTAACGTACCTTACCTGGAGAAAACCCAATGGAAACGGAGAACCAAGCAATACATTCTACAAATTTATCAAAAATAAATATACCTTTTTCTTCATTGCGAACATATATATATCCTTTGGGTCCCGGTCCAATGCTCGTAAAAGCAGCAACGTAGACATGATAATTAGTAAATGGAAACAGATTTGTCAATGTCGCTGTAGTCTTTGTACTTGTAATCATTATCTCAGGCTTTTYTGAAATTGTTACATTGAACAGTGACACGCGGTATCCTCGAACTATCCCATGRGCATGAAGGGRATCAATGGCGTCCCAAGAAAGATTGAAAGCTGTTTTACTCAAAAGCGTTGATACTAAATTTGATGGTTTTACAGATGGCACTGCAAGTAAATATGGTTAACTTTAGTTGTGCATGTAGTTATTGCTGTTATTGCGTATTGGGTATTAAAAGCATCGAAATCTGTGCAAAAATTACGCCTACTGTCAGGCAMTGACTTTACCTCCTTCTGGAGTAAGAACAATTTTCTTGATAGACCACGGACCAGGACCCGTGTCTGTGTATCCTCGTACTTCAACACCATACTCGATTGAATGAGACAAGCCCATGATATTAGCTGTTGGTTCACTTTGGTTTAGGAACTGAACTGTGGTGTTATCTATAGTCAAGTTTACATGATATCCTAATATAGGACCATACAGCCCGTTGAAAGGGATTCTTGTCCATTGTACCGTAATAGTAGAATAGTTGACAGCTATAGCTTKCACATTATCAGGAGCCTCGCTGAGTGCTTAAATAAATGACATAACTTCATTCACTTTTAGCAGCATAATACAACATGATCTATATAGGCAATAACAACAGATAATTGAGAAAATCGTGTTTTCTTCATTCGAGTAGAAGTCTAAGGAATATATATTTCCAGTTTACTTACAGTATAWTTTCAGAATACTTACGCAAAGCTGYCGTCATTACGTAAATTATATGRCCGAAGGGACCTTCGCTAGCAAAATTGTATCCTTTTATAGAAATTGTATAATTTGTGAGTGGTTTTAAATCAATMAGGRTGTGGTATCTCATGGTTGGTTCAACATCAGTGGTATTGGCACAACTCGTACTRTTATACGAGATTGTAAAACCCCTTATTGAAGTCCATTCTGAAAGGCTAAAGAAMTCCCAAGTTRTGTTGATGCTGTAATGRTCAAGAACTACAGCTGTTATATTCCATGGAGCAAAGTCCAAAACTGGAAGAAAGCAAAGCACATGATGTAATACTGTGTTCAGAAAGAACGTAAACTGTTCAAAGAGTCACTTACTTTTATCATCTGTAGTTAAGTAAAGTAAGTTTGTTTTCCCAGCACCCTCAAATGTCAATGTAGTCACCGCAAAGCTATAATTTGTGGCGTACTTAAGTTTSGTGAAGTTAGTTTTTAAATTTGACGTTGATGTATGAATGAGTGTAATAACCTCATTTGTCATTGGGTCTGTAGCATTGATTTGATAGCCATATAGTAGACCGTACGGTGGTTCTGTTCCGCAGTCTCCCCATTCTAAGGAAACATTATTACCAACGACCTCATGGTATGTAATGTTACATCCTTGCGTGAAAACTGTAAGATGATCAATGTGAAAAAAAACCGGCAATAAATACATAACATATACATTGTTCAAAATTATTCTGTGCCTCACCAGTATCGAGCTCTAAAGTCTTTACATTTTGCACGGTTTTCCCACCCAACGCTACTACTGTCTTTAAATTATCGATAAGCKGTTTGACCTGGTCGTATCCAGATTCATTAWATACTATTTGTAATGAAACGACYGTAGTTCCTTCTTTTGTGCTGTAARATAAACCACGAAAARRTGATGTTCCTCATACAATGTATGTTATATAAATTCAAGGTATCTGTTGTCCAAAAATACCCTTACCTTGAGGAACAATCCATGTGAATTGGTGCAGTCGCATCGGACGGAATAATGCTGTTGATCTGCAGAATATGGTAAATTAGGACTGGTCACCAAATAAATGTGAGATTATTCACCAGACATACCGAAGTTTTCACGTGTGTGCAGTGGTTTTGGTACTCTTTGCTTTCCTTATCATTCGTTAGTGAGGAACTCATCGTGTAGACAAAGTGCAAAGTCATGTTTTTCCTTCCTGAAGTTCATTAAAACATAAAATACAAGTGAAAATGTATGAAAATACTTTAATGGTTAGAGTGCAAGTCATATAAGCATGAAACAATTCTTAACTATGTAGTGCTAAATAGGATTTAGTTATCAACTAACTAAGAATTGAGAACAATGCTACAAAGGAATTTAAATAATTGGCATTGTGTTTATGCTTTGTTGAATTCTTAGTTAGTTGATAACTAAATCTTATTTAGCAATACATATTAAGAATTGTTTCATGCTTTCATGCTAGTTTGATTCAAAGAACTTCTCGCAACAACAGGTTTATGTATACATTTTGACATCAGAATATGAGCCTCTCACTACTAACGGCCATTGTATCGTCTGCTCCAACGTCATTCAAGGTATAATCCTAGAATTYCAGGCAAGTGCTATAATGCAACTAGATATTCATTCCCTCAAAAAATACTTTGCCTCAAGTACTGAATTACGTAACAATACATATATGATGTATTTTACCTCTGTATACATTGTGAAGATCTTCAATTGTTTCGGAAGAGARAACCTTTTCCCAGACAATCAACATATCCATGTCAACYATCGCACCTTTGCCTATCACCACATTATTGTCTGCATTATTCGAGTATTGTCCTTTAACACATGTTTCAGAGTTTGGTGGCGTCAAAAGTCCATTTTTGTAAATCTCGAGAGTATTGTCTTTACTCATGGCTAAGACAAGGTGTGTCCATAYACCAACACCTCCAGGAATGGCATACATACACTTTTCACTTTCCGTAGTTAACTAAATGGTAAATTAGTATCAATAATTAGTGTTAAATATTTTGTTGGTGATATGAACGGTTGGTGCTTAGGAACATATGGCCAGCAAGCAATGTCCTAGATTATAGTGTAATGACTAAAAAAAGGTTTTAATTAATGACATATTACACAATAGCATTTTCCATACGTACTGAAATGTTTAGCACTTCATTGTCAGATGGCATTCTTGAGATACTGATTCCTGTTAATTTTTGTAGACAGGAATCGCTGCAAAAGAGAAATTCCTGAGCTTTCCAGGAAGATTCCACAAAGTACTTCAACCATATTGACATGGTGACTCCAGTTGAACACTGTGATGGATTGGTCAGACAACGATGGATACTTTTAATAATCACATAGCTGTCCCTGCTTGTTGAGACCGTGTYTCCGGYGATTCCTTTGGTAAGCTTCACATCTCCTTGTACCTGCCCCCATACAGGTCGTTTGTGATTCTTGATGTCAGTCGGAGAAAAAWAGGTGAACAAATCGTGAGCATCGCTGGTGAAGTTTTCCACGAAAATACCTTTGAAGGATAAAGTATGCAATAAAAAAATGATATGATGAAAGTCAAAAAAGAATTAATTTYTTTAGCGTACTCTTACAATGGAAACACAAAATACCTGTCTGGCATACTTCTGATAGTCGAGAGGATACATCACATACACAAATTCCTTGGATCTCGTCACAAATCGTTCCTAATGGACATATGCTTGGACAGAATCCCACTATACAATGACAATATAAACACCATGACAAAATAATAATTATTGAAATGAATTAACCATATACAAACGAAATTGTAATGATTATGTAAAGTTTACTCACAACCACGATTGTCACTTTCTTTTCTTGCAATAAAATTAATCAATAAACTGGTAAGAAACGAAAGTCATATATAAACTGCAAAAAATTACCTTGCGGCACAAGGACTTCTATATCACTGACTTTCCAAGAAGTGTCATTTAGCACAAAACGTCCGGCTWCCTGGCCATAGGTAGTGCCATATGTTGCTTTCACTGCTTTAGAAGCAAGATCCAGCACCAAATCATTACCAAAATTGGGGAAATATTGACTTGAATCCGAGCAAATAAAAGATTGATTGTGTAAGTCTGGACGAATCGGCAAAACGATTTCAGAACCTGCGTCACTCTTGAGACTAAACAGAAATGATCGATCACTTGGAAGTGCTATCATTGAAGTGCATTGGCTATATTCTGCATTGARGAAATAAACTATATCAATATTATGTAATCACTATGAAGGATGGAAATGTCCCGATAAATCTATCCGACCATAACTAAAGGATCTAATTWTACCCACCAAGCCATGATTGATCAAAGACACCACCAAATACATAGTCCCTATAGCGTACAAGGAGCACAGAAGGCCCTTTGTTTGCACATTGTCTGTGTAGCTCTTCTGACGATATCCAGCCATTCAATCCAAGATTAAAACAATGGGTCCAATAGGATTGATTCAATTTAGCATCGATGAGCCACTTTTGTAACGTACTGGTATAGCTATCAACATGTCCTATGATTCTGGACCTGATGGCTTCAGTAAATGGTAATAGTAATCAATCAATTTATATAAAAAGCGAATTTAAAAAAGTAAATTACTATCAYTGGAATATTTCTGTTGAATGGAGCAAAAACATTGCTCTCGGTTTTTTGAATGTGTGTTTCAATTGGGTTTATACAAGACACAATTATGCGACTTGTCTTACCGTGAACTGGTGTATAGTGTTTTCCTGCCCCTCCCTGACAGGGATCTTGGATCTTAAAGTAAACGCCACGAAAAGCAATATCCCCAAAATATCCATCTCCAACGATGCCTTCGAATACAACCTGATAAAAAAAATCAAATAACATGATGTTTTTTTTTCGGGTCCGGTATCCTAGTCACTCGCGCGCTGTGATTGGCTAGCGCGCGGTCCGGTATTTCACGATCTGCCCGGTCCTGCACGGTATCCTGCAGCTAGGCTGCGAGCAAAGTTGCACGGACCTATTATGCGCGCCCAAGTTTTCACCAAAAACGCAGTGTTGGAAAGTTTTCAAAGTATCGCAAAGCTTCCCCTTGATGCTTGCACGAGAGAAGATAGACAGAAATAACTGGGGACGAGTTAGATCAGGAACCCCATCAGACAAAAATTGCGGTCAGTATAAACCTAAAACCCGTCTAATTTGAATTTCTGTTACCTTTGATTTCTCCGTAACCTTAAACGGCAGGTACACGGTTGATCCACAGTTAACCTGATTTCCAGCAAGAGACCATAACAAGGTTTTCTCTTTATCATTAGTGATCAGGTATACATTAAAGCGGCCAATATCTTTTCCTCTTAGGCAATAAGAAAATCTTAGGCAATTGATATGTGTAGGAATGTAACCTGTGGTGATGACTCTAGCAATGTCGTTTCTTACTCGAGGGTACGACGATTCAATGTACATCCATTCTAAATGTTCAATAAATGAGGACAGGARTATAAGTAGATGAATGTAACAGTAAAGCGAAGGGAGGGATACCGTTGGGCATGGATGCAATAGCACCCCAACCTGGGATCGTRTCCCTTATGTAAGTTGCAATTCTGTACATTGCTCTCTTTTTGAATGCTACCGATTCTCTAAATTTTTCACCTGCTACATATACAGTAAAAACCCGCGAATAAGAACAATTGGATTAAGAACAACTAGGCCTGATTTTAGGAAATAAAGTACCATTTATATAAGAACACATTCAGCCTGAAAAATGAAATTTGTTCTTATAGGAAAAATATCAAAAAACAACACTACTTATTATTGCACACATAATAGTTCCACCCCAATCATATGCAACAAAATATTTAACAAAATAAAAATATGTATTTCCTGAAAAAACTTATGCTATTTAGATATTTGGTTACAGCCTTTTGCAAAAATTATGAGAATTGTCTAAATATATAAATATCATAATATCCATATCCATATATTGTCCAGAACACGCGGGTTTGCTAGAATAATTCATTGTTGACATCGAGAAAATGTTCAGAACTACGGATAAGTCCGTCACCGCCGAAAAAAACTAAACTGCAAAGACAGAGGACAAAGGGAATCGCGCGTGATTACCCATCATGCACTTGATATTATCATATTTAGATATTTCGACAATTCTCATAATTTTTGCAAAAGGCTGTATGCATGTATTATATATATATATGCATATATATAGTGCATATTGATTTCATTTATTGGTAGCCTAGTATGTTCCTTATTTCAAGAAACTCTTTTTAAGAACACTTAGAACACTTACAGGCTGATTTTGCAGATTATAACCCTTTATAAGAACCAAATCAGCCAAACCGCCAAAATAGGTGTTCTTATACACGGGTTATTACTGTACCTTKTGTTTCCAGAAACACATACTTTTTTGTATCACCATTTAGATACTAACCGCTATTTTGCCTTTAAAAGCTCCTGAAAAATTGATTATAAAGCGAACAGAACAGAACCAAATCAGACGTTTGATCCCGGCCTTAGAAATATTCAATCACTTACTTGTTTTCGTGTAATATCTGGGCTTTTTTGTGTCAGCAGCAAACTTTGACATTACGTCCGACCAACGAATAACATCTCCTGATAGGAAGTAATATTTGCTATACAACGTCGATATTTCTTTAGAGCTAAGCAARCGTCCCCAAACATTAACATCGCTTAATCGTCCTTTAAAAGGAGAACGTTTATAAAAGTCATTCCCAATCCAAACCTGGATGTTATTATACTTGGATACCAATGGACTAAAGTCAACAGGAACTTTACGAATATTGACTCCATTCTGGAAAATATCTATAGCGTTTTTGTCAACCCTCGTACAGTAATGCACCCATATATGGAACCTATGATATGTATTTGTTGATACTTTTGCTTTTCTAAAAGAGAAAAAAAGAGAAAAAACTCTATTTTATTAACCTATTACAGGGTTGCATTATCTGTTTTCATAAGTAGTTMACAGAAATGGTTTAAACCTAGTTTTCACAAGCCACACGATCACAAGCGCAGACATGAGAGCAAAAACTTGAACTTTATCAGGACGAARACTGCTCGGATAAGGTTTATTGGTCACTTAACTCTTACATAATCAGTCTAACTCTGTTGCATTTGGGTTGTTCGTTTTCAAGAGAAAAATCAACCACACTTCAAGATCAAGCTCACATGAAAAAATATATCTTGCCGCGCTATGTGGTTCTCACAACTTTCKTGTGMGCTCCCATCAACGKCTTTATTATTATCCCGGGGTGGATTATTATTAGACGTCAGAAACATGGAKTAGATTGAGTGATTGTAATTGATAATGGATGTTTTATAAGTTATAGATTAGTAATTCTAAAGTACTATAACTTACAAATAAGATGACTCCAAGAGAAGACTTGACGAGTCCTTTTCTAGAGAAATCGCAGTACGAAGTAACACGGTGTTTGAGTCTTTTATTACAAAGACTGTGGACCACAAATTCGGGTAATAGTGTGTTCTGTACTGACTCCAACAAACGGTAAACATTTGGAAGTTCTCAATATTTAGTGRTACSTCGGCATATGAGTTTGTGATACTAATATAATTGGTAGTCGATMCTAAAAGAGCAAAYATRCTACAATGAGATATCTATACAATTGAAAGTTATAGGCATAAGCRAGTAGATAAATTGTGCAACATAAATATAAACATAAATATTTTTTGTCGACGAAAGTACATTCAAAAGGTCTCTAAAGATTAAGAAGAGTTTAGATTATCTGTAGTTTGGTTTTAGAACTTACCATAAGATGAAGACGGTCCAGTATTTGATGTGGGTGTACAACATGWAGCGGAACTCCAATTAAACTTTGCATTGCCTTCATCCACAAGATAAGAAAACGCTGAAATAAAATGAGACATTTATGTTGGATCTTTTGTGCTTCTGGCGTACTGCAGTGGATCGTAGAGCAATCGGACTGCTGCCGATTTAGAGTGACTAGAATTGATCCACTAAACTTTTTTAATTGATATTATGAATCAGCTAATTCTTACAATTAAAGTTATAATCCATATATCATACTAACGAACTTCATCATGTAACATCAAATCGAACAGTTGCCAACAATTCAAAAAAAAAACTATTTGCCCCAACTATTTTAAAAACGTTGATGGGTGTTCATAAAAAAAATCTTTAGAAAGGCAATCAAATTACAAATGGAAGCTTTCACCTTAACTGGTAATGTTACATGGGCGGATCCAGCTGGTGGGTGAAGGGGGTGTGCACCCCYTCCTGAGATCTGTATCMTTCAATAMTTTCCTTATTTAGTTCGTATCTTCACCCCCTCCTGAGAGCCCCGCACCCCTCCCTGGGAAAAATCCTGGAYCCTCCCCTGTGTTATGACTTTTAATGTCTTCCTAATAAGGGAAACGTTTTGAAATTAGGTATATTACAGTTTACCGTTGTTTTTATATTGTCTTATTTTCGCAATATATTCTCTTTCCCTTTCAATCGCTAGTCCATACATTTGAATATTTTGAACATTGGAAATTTCACTTGTTGTAGACGACCCGCCAAGCAGTAGACTTGTTTTTTCCGATCTGACAGCAGATATTTTATCCTGGAATAGTAAAAAGGAAATCATATAAAGAAAAAGAGGTGAGGTAAGATCTAACATACATTCTATAGCAAACCAAGCTACCTTTGGGGTGCTCGCGAAACCCACTTSATCRCCATTAAAAAGTAACCTTAAACCAGAACTCAGGGACCACGTGACTGCAACGTGATGCCACGCCTTTAGTGGCGTTTTCCGAACTTCCCAAGTTTTATTATTAGCTGTGACTTTTGCCAAAAGATAACCAGAATGTTCTCTGTAGATAGAAAATCCAGTGCTCGAATCATCTTCTGCACCACTTGTAAGGAYGTAGTCTCTCTCACTGTTGATCACTAGAAATCAAATCAGTATTTTTAAGGGAAAGAGAAAATCCCAAAATTTTAAGAAAACAAAGAATACTTATATTGATAAAGTCAATCGTAAAAAGAATTAACAATGCTTTGAGTATTGATTGTAAAATTTACCATTTACCATTTGAAATGGTAGCATCTATTTTGAAAGAAGTGGTATAAAATGACTACCTTCATTAGAAAACACTTCAATTTCATCAACAAGGAAAGGAGAACTGCCGGCCAACAGGTTTTGTGAGTAATTGGTAGTAATTCCTGATGGGATTTGGTAAATATTGCCTGGGAAGGTAGTAGACTGAGTACTAGTGTTAGCGTCATCAACTAGTACCAGGTCTCCTACGCCAAATGACGGCATGGATGTGGAAGAAGCTCGTGCAGCCTTTGATGACATGTTGGATTTGATAGGAAGTTTGAATGGTTCTGAGCCCAGTGGGTTGTTTAAACTGAATAGAAAGGCTTGTTCATCGTCAGTATAGTTTAATCCACTGCTTTTTTCCTTCTCTAACAAAAAAGTAGAATTAGTTAACTAAAAAGTGACAAACTGATGAAAGTTTATGAAAGTCGAGTGTTTGATGTTTCGAGCAGATTTCTTGAAACTTATTCACAAAGTTTATCGTCTGTATGTTAAACACATTGTCTTTCTCAGCTCTCTTCTGGCTACGATCGAATTTCAAAACTGATTCAAATCAAAAATTGCAGATAGGAATTGTGAAAGTTTTCTATAACATGTGACAATGATGATGTCTAACAATATTTACTTACCTTGTGGATTCCAGGGTACGGAAAGAAATCCACCGAAAATATAGTTTCTGACTTTAATCACAGTCAAAGTAGATTTCTTTGACGCACAGTTTTGTCTGAAGGTCTTTCCTTTCCAGCCATGTTTGGAAGCCTTGTAGCACATTACCCACCGAGATTTGTTGGTCACATGCGGAGCCAACCAGCCGTCAAGAGCCGTGTGATATTTTTCATTAAATCCAATGATATGAGATATCAAYCCTGTATAGTACAATATACCCTATTATGCATCTGTATATCGTAATAAACATTTTGCGTATCGAATAGATTACCTCCGAGTTTCATCCAAAAGGCAACAGTGAATCCATATGTGCACTTTGATGGGTCCATGAGACAGTCCTTAGCAAAACCATTAAAAGCAACATAACCTTTTCCAGTAAGCGACAGAACACCATGATCATCGTTAACTCCATCTCCCTGGACAGCACCGTTGTTGCCAAATACGAAGTCTGTCAATTGACCATTGTCCGTAATTGTTGATAAAGGCCAATAATTGTCAGCTGAGAAGTGAAATAAGACGACACTACCTTAAAAAACCTCTTCATTTGTTTACAATATTGAAAACGATGAAAATGTTGTATGATATGATAATGGTTACATAACCTTTTCCAGTAAGCGACAGAACACCATGATCATCGTTAACTCCATCTCCCTGGACAGCACCGTTGTTGCCAAATACGAAGTCTGTCAATTGACCATTGTCCGTAATTGTTGATAAAGGCCAATAATTGTCAGCTGAGAAGTGAAATAAGACGACACTACCTTAAAAAACCTCTTCATTTGTTTACAATATTGAAAACGTTTTCTTCTGTGATATTAACAAAGAATACTTCAATGGTATTAATCGTGACTTGATATACTCCCATTTCAGTAGAGTTGTCCTCACCATTCGTTTGGAAAATTAAATTGATAAAAAGTACTGCATTAATATATTTTAACCACACAAATTTTTGATCATCGGTTACAATAAACGCACAGAGGAAGCTAGTGCAGTTCCTTGTCTTACGAACGACCAACAATATGTACATATTTCCATACCTCCAAGATATTTTTTTTCAAGCACATAATTCGCCTTTGCTTTGAAAGTGATGTACGGCAATATAAAAATCCACAAATGCGGAACCTAACAAAAAGAAGGTTACTGAACTTTAGTTTACCATAAAATTGAGATATAAAAACGAAGAACGGGAAAGACAATTATACTAAAAATTTCAAAATTAAGTCCTTAAAGCGAATACCAGCAAACAATGCAATAAAATTTTGACATTTTGAAAACTTGTGCAATTTTGACTTTTAAACATATGGTTCACTTGAAAAGATTATTACAGGCACTYATCAAAGAATCTTGTAAAACGGTTAGCTATTTATATCAAAAGTGCATGTATTATCGCAACATATCATTTCAACTTTTACCTGAAGGAAAATCATCTCATCCTGATATAAAACGACAGGTGAATGATGAGGCTCATTAGCCTTCTAGTGAGTGTCTTCGTTATTAAATCCCAGACAGTTCACAATTGCCCTATTTCATTATGACGTCACAGTATGTTTACATCGGAAAACGATGCTCAAAAACAGTGGAAATTYGGACCCATTTATATTGTCTACTAAAGTAGAACTTCAATGAATCGTGTTTTGATATGTATCATGCATGTATACATGATTGCTCATGTACATTTTATTTGATATGCAGTCACTCTGATCCCTTCTGGCGACCATAATCCTTAGCGTTAAAACAATAGAATGTTTTGATGTGACKTCATAATGAACTAGGGCAATTGTCAGTAGATATTGGCACTCCCAATAAARGATAAATAGAAGTCTTTCATAGTGAATCCACGCAAAGGTATAAATATAAATATTTCCTACTGAGTGYARCAATCAATAATTCGTAATTCATTCTAATTTTGAGTTATGAAAATCGCGATTTGTTTCACAGTCTTTTTTAGAATTTTGAAGACATCTGTACATATTGTTTTTTTTTAATTTTGCATGCGCTGCAACTTATTAAATAGTAAACAGATCAAAACGAAACTCTTTGAGCTGTATACCAAGGGAAAATTATCCAAGATATGAAGATTACTCAATCTGAGAAACTGTAGACCATTTTTCAGTTTTTCTATTTTACTCTTTAAAAAATTACTTAAGCACCTGTGTTTATTAGGACTTAAAGAGAAAGTTGAGTTTCAACTTACATTGTTATAACGGTGCCCATTGGGGGTTAAAACACCGAAAGATTAAAAAAAATTGTTTATTCAGACACTTTTTGCATTTCAAAGATCGATCGATGGTGTGWACCGTTAGATTCAGAAGGAATATTTTCATAAATGAGAATTTTTGRTGGAAAATAATTGAATTCAATATTATTACTCTATTTATCAACGAAAAAAGTTTTCTTAGGAGTTGCGATGTTTTGATTACCAACTGTTTTAATGATACTAGACATAATAAGAAGTCAATTAATATCGGGTTGTTTATAGCATTTAAAGTAAGGATAGTTGCGCAACTAAGTACATAGATCATAGATATTATTTTATCATAGMGCAACAATCGTTATAGTTGGCTAGCGTAGAATTAGTTTTTATTTGTTTAGTTTGACACTTAAATATTTGATCGAGTTCGGAGTAATTTTTGAAGAGTTTTTAAAAAGTCTGTCTTGGCGTGCAAGTTACGTCATTGCCGCCATGTTGGATGAAAGTCACAAAGCATTCCTCACTAGTTTTCTTGTTCATTCATCCAACATGGCGTCGATAGCTTTGTTCGTTATTTCTCAGGGGATTCCTGATCATGTGGTTGCACACGAAGAATATCATTGTCAATGTTTGCAAATGTTTGATCTAGCAATACAATAGACCTCTGATAAGACCTCTGTTACATTCAGTGAACGTTTATTAATATATTTCTGTGAACATTAAAGCAAGGGGATGGATCTTTCTCCTAGAAACATTGATTGTTATTTAAGCGTTAGCCTCATGAAAAATGGTTTGAAGTCAAGGCTGGAGTGTGGGGACTTACTATTGTTTTGTTATCTGAATTAATTAACAGGATTACTAGGAAAAGTTTTTCTCCCTAGTTTTAACAAAACTTTTAAAAGTAGTTTTAAAAAAAACTATGATTGCTGTTTGATAAAAAATTCTGTGATATTATGTCATCCGAGACGAAAATATACTGTCATGTAAACAGGCCCTAATTCTAGTATATACCCACTTTCTTAAATTTCTAATATATTACATACCATCTTATGACTTCACATAGTTTAAAACACCAGGTATATACTTGATAAAACGCGATCTCGAGTGTTTTAAATGGCTTCAAAACTCCGACACTAATTTGAAACTCAAATCCGTTCACTGCAATCRGTTGACAACCTGCAATGGTCAATGATCAGGTATCAAACCCGAGACCTTTGCTAGGGTCATGGACCTTTGTATCTGATAAAGTTCACCCTTATTAGTATTCTAATAAGGAGTGTTTTATCAGATATAAAGGTCTATGCATGTGACCAAATAGGCTCATTCTACTGGCCTAATAGCTTATTAATTATGTATGAGTTTTTGAAATTTGAAATAGTGTCCTTCTTCAATTAAAGTACACATACTTGTTGCTAGAAAAAATCCACCTTCAACTAGACTTGAGTCAGTGACGTGACCTCACACACTCTCACCATGCCATGACATTCTGATTCTATAATCTAATGTAAAGAGAGATCTCCTTATAAAATTGGGTAGGTATATTCAACAGACCTTGTAGGGTCAAAAAATAAAACCCTTGCGCACCTTTTAGGGTCCTGAGCTGAGTCTTTGAAACATGGGACTTTCTTGCCAAATCAATWGGTAAAAAACATACATCATTGCACAACCGATGCTCATCTCGCTTTATTGTCTTGCAAGCATGTCAAGATGGGCAAAGAACTAAGAATGGGGTTATACATAGGCCGCCCAACTAATACATTAGAGACAGAAAAGAACGAATGCGTACGCTTTTATTATGTATATGTATTGGCGCGCGCTCTTAGCAAAAATGCGGATTACCTGTGGTGCTACGTCACGATCGCGCGCCTCGTGGGTATACTATAATCTTGTCACAGATTAGTATGTAGTCGCGAGGCGCGAGATAGTGACGTAACACCACAGGTAACCCGCATTTTTGCTAAGAGCGCGCGCCGATACACATACATAATAAATGCATTCGTTCTTTTCTGTCTCCAATGCATTAGTTGGGCGGCCTATGGGTTATAGAGATATATTATATGTATATTATACTGGAATGTTTATCTATGGGGACTATGTAGTTAAAAACAATTTGACCTTTTTTTTTCTTGGTTATAAGAATAAATCAAATCAACCTGTWGAGGAACAGCTTGAAACTCAGACTTAGATAATGTCGTAATTTCTAATTTGTTTTGCTGTCACTTCATTTCAAAAAATAGACTGGGTTTTTAATATTATGCTACTTATATTCGTCACCATAACCTACTTGTACCACAACAAATGTTTATGRAAGGAAATCGTACCTCCAATAAGGTTAATAAACAACTAATTATAATTTCAATGAAGGAAAACTCAAACTTACTTGATTTCACACGGGCAAAAGACGAAGAAGCTAAGTTCCATTTATGGGGCAATAGCTTATTATGGCCGACTCGACGAATAGGGTCACCTCTCAAAACTCTCAGGTAACCATCATTTGGAATTCGTATCCAAGAACTGGTCAAGAACTAGATTTTGAGCTGCTTGAGAATTTGATTTGCAGTTTTAGAATGAAACATTGCGTATAAACAGGCCTATAGCAATAAGGAATACTTCTCGTCGTTTTCAGGCGATTGTCYACAACTGAACTTGCTCTTCTCAAATTTCGCGCCSTCGCAAACGCGCGCGTTCGGAGATGTCGTCACTTTGGCGCGCTTTTGGTCTCCCTGTGTTGTAATGAGAGTGAGGCTATTTCTCCCATCATCCTTCGCAAACATACATGTTGTGATTCGAATGCAAATCAATGCAAATGAAGTTCGAACATTTTGGTTGAGGGATTTATAAATCTACGCATTCATAAAGGCACTTATGAACTGTAGCTGGCTCCCTTGTAAGTAGCAAATGTGTTTCTTGAATTTATCAGGTTGAATCTAATATGGTTTTTCTTTCTTTGAAAGAAAGTGTATTTGAGCTACAATGGCCTACTGCCAGAGAAAACTGGCCGTAGCAGAGAGCGAAAAATACCAAAACATTGTCATGTCAAAATCATTTATATTTATTAGTTAAATTGTAAGCTATGGTTTTAATCAAAAGTGTTTACAAAGTGGAGATGTCGCTAAGGATGCTATTCGATAATGAATGGAGGAAATTATGGACTAAATCSACCGATTATCTAGCCCACAGCTATAAGCATAATAAGCTTAATTGCTTATTGTATGTCAACTTTTATATCGGCAGAAAAGACTTCAAGAGATGGGTTATGATGTAGGAAGATTTCAAGGAGAAGTCGATGAAGAGTTAATGTGTTCGATTTGTGGGGGTGTTTTGGAGGACCCGTTACAAGCGCCGTCTTGTGAACATGCTTTTTGTGCTTCTTGTATTCATGAGTGGTTAAATCATCAGCAAAGCTGTCCCATAGACAGACGTAATCTCACACCATTGCAGCTGAAACAAGTGCCTAGAATTCTAAAAAATCTGCTATCAAAACTACTGATTTCTTGTGACAATAATAACTTTGGATGTGATGCCATTGTAAGACTTGACTCTTTAAATTCCCATTTGTCCCAGTGCCAGCACAATCCCAAACGACCCATTCAGTGCGAAAAAGGTTGTGGTTTAGTTGTGCCATTTGATGAACTCCTTCATCATAATTGTGTGCGAGAGCTTAATGTCATCATTCAAAATCAAAACCTTAAACTAGTAGAAGTTCAGTCTCAAATAGATGATCAGCGGCAACAGCTCAATGAACAAAAAAGAGAAATACAAGCTCTAAAAGATATGATGAGGGCAGTTAGAGTGCTTAATATCCCTCAAGCACTTCCACCAGTTCCTGATGATCATGTCAATCAACCAGCCTTAGTGCATCAAAGTGATGAACTGCGTGAATGGATCTTAAGCTTRCCACAAGCGAGGGTAACAAGATGGGGTGGGATGATATCCACTCCAGATGCTGTTCTTCAGGCTGTCATCAGAAGAGCACTGTCAGATAGTGGCTGTCCAGCAACAGTTATAAGTGAGTTAATGGAAAATGCTCATGAACGTCGATGGCCTCCAGGACTGAGTACCCTTGAAACTAGACAAATCAATAGAAGGCGCTATGAACAATACATTTGCAGGCGCATAGCAGGCAAGCAGGCAGTGATTATTATGTCTTGTGAAAATGAGCATATGGGTGAAGCTTTAACTTTGGATCCTGGAATTGTCATGATTTTTGCACATGGGATAGAATAAAGGGGGTATATAAAATAATATAAAACTTTTCAAAACTACTGGTTTTTCTAGCACAGTTTCTTGGTTCTTTATTTCTGCATTGTTGCAATTAAACTGTTTTGGATTATGAGAAAATAAACATCCTGATTAGCAAAATTATGTTCTTACTTAATGATTATTGTTCAAAGAATATTATACTGTTTCTGGTTTCTGGTTGTATTTGTACATAATTACTGCATGGCATATAAGTTATTCTGTGTACCGTGTGAYAATTGAACGATAGTAAAAATTTTAAAATCTACTATCTTAAGATAATGAATGAACATAAATATAACTCCAAAATTTTTCAAGCAGTGCTTGATTCTGCAAAATGAGCTGTCTGGCTTACAGACGTCAATGGTTTTTCCCCACAGGGGTTTTTCAGTTGTTGTGGAAGAGTCCAGTTTTCATCTTGTGGGAGAGGGAGAGTGGAACAAATCTTTTTCACATCTAAATTTGGAATTTTGCATGAAAATAGAATCTGATACTTCAAGTGAATCTAATTCATKTTCAGAGTACAGCTCAATATTCATTTTAGATTTCTACTCAGTCTCCCTCTCCAACAGTCTCACAATATTGCGGGCTTCCTGTGGAAAAGTCAAAATGGCGGAAAAGAACTCCACTATGCATAAATATCTYGAGGAATTTCTAAAGTTTGTTGCAACGAATCCTAAGGATTTTCTGTTCTATGGTAAGATTGGAGCTTATTATTGAATATTTGTCTTTATTTATCGAGATCTGGATTATATAACAAATGAATATGMCGAAAATGTTCAATGGTGAATTTTAATCAGCTGTTTATACCCTTTATAGTGATGTAAGCTTACTTAAGACTATCTTTCTGAGCTTTTTAAAATAATCTGGCGGCAACAAGAGGTCTTCAACTGAGAATGAATGGAATGAGGCTATATTTAGTATCGGCTCGATAGCATTTCCAGGTCACTATCGTTCACAACATGTCACAACCCTCCCGGCCCCTCCTCGGAAAGATAACTTRCTTTGAGTTCTTATTACCTTCATGAATTTATTTGTCACTTTTATATACCAGTATTCCTGTTTCTTACTCCATTAATGGTGATATGTGGACTTCTGTCCTTAAAGTTGGCACATCACATTGAACAAAGGGACAAAGAGAGAAAAAAGAAAGGTATTTTATTTGGCATACCATATATCAGCTAGAGCTTAGAAAACTGTCATCTTTAGGAAATGGCAATTATTGGTGTGCCGCCACAGGACAAAGCTATTGCTTCCATCTTGACTGAAGGAACAAGAAAATGAGCCATGCATTTTTTTGCCTCAGACCTTGCACACAGAGGAATCGAGACAAGGTACTGTGGATAAAGCTCAGTCATTTGTGAAAAGACAATAGTTTTTCATGATTGGCTTAGAATTATGCATGATACMTCATCTTGATTCTTTTGTGTTTGACTGCAAAATTCGCAAATCAGCTATTTAGTCTCTGTTGCTGGCCCTCCTTTTATATTGGGATTCCTGTCCCTCTAGATCTACAGAGGAGAGTGTGCAGTKTAATTTATGTGTGAAGCAACCATAACATATACTGGTCATTGTTTAGTATGTGGTATTACAAAAATGAAATCAAAGGATGGAAAACTATAAAATGCTTATAATTCATAGATATATTTATTTAAATATTTAATTTCATGTTCTTGATATTTTCTACCCTAATATTGATCATTAGTTGAAGTATAATTTTCATATTTACATTATATTTTTGTAATCTTTTAGCTACAAGACAGTCAAATTTAGCAAAGACAAAAAGAAAAATGAAGACYAAGTAACAATGAATAATGTCTATAATCATTCTTTTTAGTAAAAACATATTAGTTACCCACCTAGGTATTCTCCAATGTAAACCAAGGGTTTTCAGAATTGCAGTGCAGATACTACTGAAASTGYGGCTTGTTTGAAAAAATCCTRTTGCAACCTTGAACTCAACTGCTCTTTTTTGTAATGTGATCAATCTTGAGGTTGATAGGATATGATCTAACAATGTTATTAGTTCTCTGTATTAACTGTTATTTGATTTTTCATGTTTACCTAAGTGGCCCCAGTTTCAGTAGTTCTACTATGATATGTAATTGCTTGTTCTTATATCAAGGAATATGCTTCAGAACTTGTACATATTTGTACTATCATCGAATGACTGTTATTTAATATAATCACTGTGATTTTACAAGGCATTCTTTGRTTTCTTACATAAAGCCATTTATTGATTACTAACAGCAACTGTATGGTGATGGTTAGGGTTYTTGAGTTTCTCTGACCATACATATTGGCTRTTTTATTGAAATGTTGAATAAGCCCTTTTTCTAGTAAATGGACTAGGGACCTCACTGCCCCTTCTGTCTGACACTGATTTTGAACGTTTTCTGTCGTTCTTTGTTGGAGTGTCAATTTGAAATTGATCAATGTGAAGATAGTTAGTATATGCATTAAATGCAATGCGAAATTTGTTTCGTAGAGCATCAGACTTGATGCTTCCACTTTTCAGAGCTTCCCAGTGCTCTTGGCTTTCTTTTTTCTTCTGATCATGAACACGTTCAAAATAGTGGTCCTTCGCTTTATCAACCTGCAGTATCAATAATAATAGATTTAGTGGCCTTCTCTCATGTTTCAAGTCATCTGATTATTCTCTCCTTCCTTGAATTTTATTACGTATTACAAAGTCCCTAAAAAGTCTTCTCTGGCCCCTCAGTGGTGCAGATCAATATATTAAAACATAGTTTGAATTTGGTGCCTGGAGCTACCAGTAACACTAGGGATACACAGTCTAGACATACCCCTCATGCAATACTCTGGAAAAAGGAGTGCTGGCAAAGTCTTTGAAATGAGACTTTTCCAAATCAATAGGTTAACACATTTTCAAATTTCCAGATAGTCCAACAGTTTGCAGTCCCAGCTGGCAACCCTTCCCCCTCCCTCCCTCTCCGCCACTAACAAAAATAACCCATCAGTGTCATACCTTATTTCTGATATCAGGTAAATAATCAATACTGATTCCGTTCTCATTCCCTTTCACTGCATTTGTTTTACCAGATATTAGCTGCAGCTGTACTGAAAAAGGTTTGATTCTCTGTGATTTCCAGCCCGACGCACCCGGCTTCTTCATATCTGTACTTCTTCTTAGTTGAGATTGAGGGGTACGTCGTCTTTGAAGTATTGGAACGGGTAACTCTGTAGCCTAGTGAAATGAACTGATAGTGAATTAAGTTATGAAGTMCTAACAAAACTTCAGTGCATTTGCCAAGGCTAAAAGCATACCTCTTTTTACATTWGCGTGTAACTATTTTTAATTTAGATTTTGCCATTAGCCACGTTWATGTATTGYGGTTACACACCTTTGAAGGTGGAGGCAAGTTGCTTTTGTTCTCTTGTGGAGAAGAAAATGAAGTGAATCTTAATCTGATTTTGCCTCGGCATACTGGTTCGACAGCCTTTTTCGGACGRCGTTTTTTCTTGGATGCATTTCCAAACACAATATGGAGCGGTTCGGCGTAGGGGGATTTCTCATCTCCTTCAGCATGTCTTCTTCTCAAGGTTTCCATGTGCTTTCGAAGTTGACCTTCTGTCAATCCTATGAGCCTCGCGCCCGCTGCATAGTGACCTACAACGTGAGGTGCTTGAATRCGCTTGTATTTTGTGTGGTAAAATCTGAAAGTTGATATCCAGTGTTATCCAGTGTTATCCATAGAATGTCAAACGTTACTAGTCAACTAYATAATCATAGTAAAAATGTTTCATTTACCCAACAATTTCGTTGAGAGAATGAAGAGCTGATCTTTTCATGAAATTTGTTAAAGCTTCAAAAAGCATTGTTTCTCTTCTGGAGTTTTTAGATCCATTTTTATCGTTGTGATCTGAAACAAAGAAACCGCGTGAATGATTCAATGAGATAAGATGCACAACGTGTAGATCTTTAGGACAATCCGCTGCAAATATTGATAAAAACTCACCAAATCCTTCAATAAATCGTTCAGTGTTGGTCATAAGATTCAGAAACTCCTCAAAGTCGATTTCTCCATTTCCTGAAATGAATAAGTGATATTTTCCATGTCGCATTTATTACAATGTTCGTATATTTCCGTTAAAAAATCTACATTGTGGGAGCGTCGCTGAACCRCTGTTATATACAGGCTATACAGCACGCACAAGACCATATGCCCGGGCTTGAAAGTTAAACAGTTGTGTTGAAAGAGTGAGTTGAATGGCTTATTGTCTCTATCTACTCGAACTCGAAAACCAGTGATCACTAATGATGGTTCGAGCAGGACCCGGGCTAATTTCAGTAAGAAGAAATTKATTATCCATTGAAGGTCTCACCATCTTTGTCCATTGCTGTCAAGACATCGACTATCTCCTCCTGTGAAAGCTGTATATCCACTGATCGTAATGCAAGATCGAGTTCTTCRGCGTCAATTGTTCCTCCACCATTACTATCAAATAAGTCGAAGACTTCTTTAAAAGCTWAAGAAAAAAATACAAATACAATTATAATATTCTTCTATAAATCATAATTCATCTTAAAGTCGCGCATGGGTGGCATGTATTGATATCAGAGTACTCTTAGTTTTTTTTTAATTTTATGGCGAGGCAGGGCCGAGTTGTGCACCGTCCTATTAGCCATTATTAGCCATTATCCTGAGTTAACCTTYGGTTAAGGCTAATAATCGGGCTGGAAAAACCGTTTAAGCTTGCTCTTCCTAAAACTACCGCACCAGGTTTGTAAATTTATAGTTATGCATATTAGAAATTCCTTTATAATTTAATCATTAACATTTACCATTAACTATATCTTGTGACAAACCATTCGCTTTTACAGTTACTGCTTCCACCGATTGCACGTCTGACAATTCTTTTTCTTCCTCTTGGATACTACTATCGAGGATAAAGGCGTTTCTCCTCAATTTAGGCTTCATATTACCAAAGAACCAATCGTTATTCAGCCAAGATTGAGTAACCAAAAATTGCACATGGCCGCTAAAAATCGCGCGCGCGAAAATCGACTTATGACGTCACMAAATAGAGTGTTGTATTACCCAGAGGGCTTTGCTTTTAAAACAACTGTGCTAAGTGTTGTCTGCGTACTGCATGAGGTACTGTAGCCATCAATACATGCTCTKCGATTTCTAAAGAATAACAATATTTCAAGAAATATAACAATAATAAAGTAAAAGATCTGTCATATATTAATTTTCGTACATAAATGTGTCTTTAATTAAATTTAATTAATCTCTGTCTTTTTTCCGCATATAAATTTCATGTTGTGTAAGTATTTTAAGTTTAACTTTTGTTCTTCTGTCTTTCCCAAGCATTTAAACCAGGAATTTTACGGATACTAATTTCGCTTTATCAAGCCTTTTCAATCCGTATTTTTTTGCCGAATATTGAGGATTTTCCTTTGGGGACCTCTCCGTTTTTTTTCTCCGTTCTTTCTAGTCTTCCTTTATTATAGATTAAACACGGGAACACGATACTCCTTGTTTTTCAACATTTTAACCTCACAAAACCACAATAGGCATTTTTCAGATCAGCCTAAGGCAAAATAAAGTAGGAATAAACGTTTTTTTTTTTCTGATCACATAATTTCATTCTCTCTCTCTCATTAGGCCATGCAGTAACAACTTCTGTTAGCTGTCAGTTAACAATCATTACGAAATTCAGCCTGCGATTCTCTCAATTTCTTTCTTTCTTTCTTTCTCTCTGAAATTCTCTGTTTCCTTTTTGTGTGCGTGACTATACCTAAAGTCGTTTCTATTGTATTAGGCAAAAGTACAACATTAACCATTTATGTGTTATATATACCAAGCATTATTTAGTACCAACTAAAGAAAATAAGATCAATTGTAAAACTGGTCTTAAAGCGGTTTTTGCTAACTCTATAATTGGCGATTCATTTTGATCTCAAAGTTGCTATGAGTATTGCAGCAGGCTCAGTTACAATCGTGTTTAGTGTACAAGTCAACATGAAAAGCACACCTGAACTGAAGGCAAAGCGCAGTGTCGAGAAACAAAATCGGCTAGACTAGGCTTTGCGGGATATAAAGTAAACAGAAATCTGGCCTCACGGAACTCCTCTTCTTACCAATACAATCAGACAGTTTTAGGTTGCACATGTGACATGCCTTATGTGAAGCTATACAAACATCATATTACATTGTTTTATTTTAATAATTATTATTTTCCATGAAATAGTCTCGCGTGCATTCTTGAGCAGTCGATTGAGTTTGTTGATMACTCATTTTAATATAAATGACATTGGCTCAGCAGTTCCTTTTTTGTCATGGAAAACACGATTTTATCTTGAATTTTGCGTCCTTCCGTTTCTTGCCCTSTGCCCATCAGAGGTATATTGAATTCAAATTATTGGTGGAAGAAGGCAATTCATTTTATTTCATATCCCATGATTTTCATGTAGCAGATGTTGTCAAGCACGGAAGAAGAAATGTTTTGCTTTTTCTTATTTCGTTTATTCTTCGTGCCCCATCACTTTTTTTCGCTATTTCAAGCCTACCCTATTTCAAGCGTGCCCTTATGTAGGAGATCGAACAACACTCCTTTGTTCAAAAAGCTTTATCCCCACTAACATAAAGGTGCGATAGGGGCACCCTCCATCATGTGGCGGACACAGTAGACGCAAACGTTGAAATTCAATAATGATCAAAAGCAATTAATAAAAGCTTCAATATTTCACAAAAGTACACAGACCACACACAAAAGCATTACTTTTCTTCCCYTTTTTTTTCATGTCACTTCTCATTCTGTCGGCTCATCGTCGTACGTTTCCGACAATTTACCGATAATATCCCGGAAATAGAACGAGACGGACGATTATAATGTCTGGCTGAACATTGCAGACTTGGTGTTGGCGAAGAAGGCAACGGAAAGTCCAGAACAGCAGGAAAAATGCTTCGTTGTGAAGCATTTTTTTGCTTAATTTTGGTATTAGATACCAGCTTAACATCTGTGAAAGGTAAGTAATACACCCGTTAATTTAGATTATCGCTATTTCTTTAACAAATCTGTACGAACGAATCGAAAATTCGTCCAAACAATTTGTCATGACATTGACGAGTTGTTGTAGTTGAGTTTGGAAATCAGTCTCCTGTGTTTGCTTTTTTTCCATTCGCAAGCTTGCAATTGTACATAAGAACACCGAACTATACATCTACCTCAAGTGGAGTTTTCTGGGAGAAATAATTTTTTGTTCGTAGTTTATTGTGGTTTTCATTATGGACAAAGAGACTATCATTGCTGTCGAACCGTATCACGGACAAAAACCGTATATTGTCGAGGAACTGTTCTCCCCAAACTCTTAAATATTGTATTATTCTCACTAATCTTTGGTACACAAGAGGTTTCTATCGTCCTGATGTTATTAGAAGAGATGTTCTGAATCCGTGATTTGACTTCAAAACACTCAGTCATGCATATTCAATCGATCTTGGAGGACAACTGTGTGCCTTGTTCGACATTTCAAACGCTCTACTTCATTTTGACAATAACTTGAAGCCGCAAGATTAAATTCCATTTGCACACAGCTTTAGAAATATTACCTCATGAATGTCACCAAATTAGAACATAAACAGTTATTTTAACGGAGCAAAAAGTTTGTAGCCGAGCCGTGTTTATGCCTCATATAAGCTGTAATCTTTGGCATTTAAGTATAGGAAAACCCATTCAATATAGCTCTGATTTCAAAAAAAWTGCGATCATTGCCTTGCCAGCTATAATATTGTCGCTCATTAGATAGATACTATTTATGTTAAGAAATATTTCCCAGATTTTCAAGGTAAGAATAAAAGGGTTTTAATATTATGTAGTTATTAAAAAAAGGTTTTCTTTTTTCTCCATCAGAATATAGTTTTTGCTATAGCTAGCTATGACTGTTTTGTCTACTTCAACATGAAAGATATTCTTCGCCATCTTGTTGACTTTTCTTGTTAGTAATGTAATTTACTTCTGCCAATAATGGCCTTTCGGGAAAATAAATCTACAGATGGCCAAACCTCAATTTTATCATCGTGACAATGAATTGTCAGTTTGTTATGACTGATCTTAATCTACAGCATARTAATTTTGCTCTCTTGGGTTGTTTGTTTATACGATTTAAATGACCCATACTGTTAGCACTGCTGTACTGGGAAAAAGAAATAAAAGATAGGCTAAAATTGTTAGTTAGTCATAACAGATTATAACTGAATGCATGCAGATGTTGGTTTGACAGCAATTAACATTTCTGAGAATGTGGATTGATTCTGAATCCTTTTCTTTAAACCATCTGATAAAACTTTTTGAATATTATTWTTGTCCATATCAGATGTATTACTGAGTGGCAATAGACTGATAGTTCAACCAACATTAATGACAGAGACTTTCAGATAACTACCTTCCTGAACYAAAGTTTTAATTTCCCATTTACTGTCTGCCTTAGACTCATTTTACATCTAACTCCAGAGGATCGGCTGGTTTCTTGATGATTAAAAATGATTGTCATCTAATATGTTTGTTATAAAATTGAGTGGATGGACATGATATCCTGTAATACTCCATTTTTCGCAAAAAGATTTTGAAATTCTGACAAGAAATTACTTTTACACCAGCTTGTATTTTTTGCCACAGTATTATCCATATTTATTGTTAGCCAGAGGTGTTCTTACACATGTTCTGATTATTATAAGGACATGCTTTATTTCATTGGCAAAAGTATACCCTTAAGAGCTCTTACGAGAAGGAATCTTTCTAGAGCAGATTTCGTATTATTGTGTAATGACACTGATCATGGGCATGGCTTGGTCTCATAACCACCTCGCCTGGTAGTCACTCCAAATTCAAGGACAAATTGTCATTGCCGYATGGTATGTTGATGACATGAAAGTCTATGTTTTTTGCAAAGTCATTTGAAACMTGCTTTATATTATATGCAAAAAAGGATGGACTGTTCATATGACTAATTGATGAAATAAGCTCTTTGGGATGTTGGAATCATAAGAACTGCCTTTTTTTGAATTCTTCAATATATTTATTGCAAAGATAAATTGTGACTATCCATTCGTCACTGCTKAAATATTTATACAAATAATTATCAAAAGTGTCATAAAAAATGTCATATTTTATGGTTATATCTTTCCATATTCTTCAATAAGGCTCTTCTATAAAAAAAAGATTAGAAATGTCATGTGATATTTAATAAAATTAAATTGCTAATACAAAGTTTTGCATTAACTAATTCAAAGAGTTCATACTTGTTTTTTTGATGGTTACTAGTTATAAGCACCATATGTTGGTAAAGATTCAGGTTTTGCTCCCTAAAGCAAGTCAGGAAAATGAAAATGAATTTTTTATGTCAATTTTACCAAGAAACATCATAATTAACTCTTCACTGAAACTTTACTACTTTTGGTAATTCATCTGGAAATGAGCAGAAAATTACATTTTATATGTTTTATTTTGAATGCCTTTGAGAAACAAAAAACATCTCATCATTGTTAAATTACAACATTCTGGACAATAAAGATTAYTAGAATCAGCCAAACGGATGTTCCATAAATGAGGACGTGCAAAAATGTGATATTGATTGCAATGATATTTTTGCTACTTGTATAGTTATATTATATAGTTATACTGTACATGTATGTTAGATAATTTTTACAAAGGAATCTTTTACAATCCATTGATGACGTAACAAGTAYCACAGACTTTGATTCAGTGGTATTTTAACAGCAAGAATAGAAAATTACAAAATGCACTACTTATGGCGTGTATTGTGATTTAAGAGCATCGTATTTTAAGTTTTGAGRGGCTGGTCTAACTTTAATTCATAATCTTGTCAGGAAATAGCAAGTTCCCCCACAAAGGCAAGCAAATTCTTATGTAAATTATTGTTGGTGATAAATTTAGAAAGTGGTGTGATGTCTGGAAAAAATGGTAATTCAAATTCCCTATGTACAGCTGCAACAATATTTGATAAAAGCTCTGGAGGTCTTTCACTTTCAACTGCAATATTTCTTATATTGTCATCAGAAAATTTGAAGTATTCAGTATTGAAAATCTAAGCATCTAACTGATACTGAATTAATAAAAAGAAGGAAAATATGGAAGAAATTATGAAAATAACAGTAACATATAGTTCATAGATTCTACAAAAAAATTAAAAGATATATTCATTATTAATTTGATGGAGTTTCTACATCTACATCTACAAGTTAAATCCATAAAGGTTGCCCGTTACATGGATGTGAATGGTCATGGTATGCATCTACTAGCAGGAGCACTGACACAGGAGGAGCTGGGATCGCTTCCTAGTTTCTATTTGCCTATMTATTTTTAGATCCAACAGAGTGTTTTGTGGTCATTCAATTTCACTCTTTTTGTTCTTCTTTTTGTTTTACACAATATGAGCWAAACCACAAAAGAAAAGGCTGAATTTGAACAGATTTTGAAAAAAAGAATTTGAACATTTGTACTATGTCTAATTTGTAATATTTGTATATTTGAACAATACATGTAAAGTATGTGAACATTATTAAAACAGCGTAAATTATTTTTCTTTGTCAATGTTAAATTGTTATTTCATTGATGTTTAGTTTRATGAACATCTTAAAAACTATTTTCATCAGGGTATACCCAGACTACATTAATGATATTCATCATCATGTGAAATGAAAAAGATGGCAACATTGGCTTAGTGAGGTTTATTTATCACATTTATCAAGTCCYTCAATAAAACCTGTCAATGAATATMAAGYATTATAAAATAACCTATTGTTCAATAGAATCATGTCTTTGACAACTGTAATTTTTTAGGGGAAATTYATGTCATGTCATTTATCTTGTGACTGTGCAACTAAAAGTTTAATCATTTTAAAGTTTTTCCTTCACAGTTGCCTGCTCCATCTTCATAGGTGAAGKTGCTTTTGCATTGAAGCAAGACTGCTGAGCTTGCATTGATAGATACCTGTGAATAATTGTCTGGAGGTGTGAAAGGTTTCTATCACTGCGCAATCAATGGTTGTCTCGCTTCAATGCAAAGGGATGTCATGGTGTAGGGAACAGTGAATTCACTTGCATTTCTCACTAGATATTTTCTAATGTGTTGACGTTGACTATTAAAACTCTCATTTAACTTTTTTCGATGTATTCTTTAATTTTGACATCCATTCCTTCTGTAATTTCCTAGGGAAAGAAGATGTACACAATGCTGGAAATGTCACTCAATTCACTTGTGATTGCAATGTGTGTAGAAAAACCACTGTCTGTCATACAAAAGAGGCCTGCTTTGCATCCCATGTGCCTAATAAAGTTRACATCCAAAGGGGCTGCATTCAGGAAGGGAAGTTTAACCTTATGTGTAGAGCAAGTGAATCAAACCCATCCAAGCGCCATGACACAGTTTGCTGTAAAAAWCACATGTGCAACACAAACCTGAACCCTGCACTACCAACAAGTATGTTGAAATGCTTTAGCTTGCCGATAAACAAATAGTGCTCTAATATACATGTATAGGGCAAACCAAATTGAACCAAGAAAAAAAATCAAAATAGTTACTTACAAATATAGTTTGTACATCTTATCTTCCTGTGTATTTCTCGTTGTGTATTGTCTTTCTCTGGTTCAGTGATAACAACTATTAGCAACAATTTTTTAGTATCTATCTTGATTATATTTCATGGTTCAAGAAGTTGTGCTCTCTAACAGACAGATAGATGTATAATAGATATGATTATGACAGTCTGAGATGATACATCGTGAATCTGAAGAATGGAAGCTGCTTTGCATGCATAGAATTGAGTACTCATGAACTCATTGAAGATTRTGACAAGTACAATGTGAACCAAAACTGTCAGATAAATTAATTTAAAATGGAAACTATATGACCATTAACGTTTTGAGTTGATAATATTCTGTTATTAACATTAAATAGACAATATGTTTGTCTTTCAACAGCACATGCACTGTCAACAACTACAAAAGCATACRACACTGAGTTCCTTGTGATAAGTATCTGTGCTCCTGTTGCTGCMTTGATTGTCTGTATTGCCATTGTATACTTAATATTCCGGAGATATATCAAATACCATGTTCRACATCAACCAGTACCACGTCAGGATACAGAGACTTCACATATTCACTGTGTRTGCAATCCATCTGATAACACTTTGCAGGATCTCATTGATATGTCATCTGGTAGTGGCTCAGGGCTGCCTTTACTAGTCCAGCGCACTGTGGCTAGAGAAACTCARCTCATCGAAACAATAGGGAAAGGCAGGTATGGTGAAGTGTGGAAAGGCAAGTACCAAGGTGAATATGTTGCTGTAAAGATATTCAACAGTACAGAAGAAGCATCATGGAAAAGGGAAACAGAAATTTACAACACCATAATGTTACGKCATGAATCTATATTAGGGTTCATTGCCGCAGATGTGCACTCCAGGAAGTCCACTACTTACATGTGGCTAATTATGCACTATCATGAGTTGGGATCCCTGTATGATTTCCTTAACAGATCAACATTTGATGCAGAGACCATGTGTAAACTAGCCTTGACTGCAGCTAGTGGTCTAGCACATCTCCACACAGAAATCAATGGGTTTAATGGTATTGGATGTAAACCTGCTATTGCTCATAGAGACATTAAATCTAAGAACATTTTAGTGAAAAGTAATTACACATGTGCTGTGGGAGATCTTGGACTTGCAGTCCTGTACTCTGGACAGAAAGACACTGTTGATATGGGAGATAATCAAAAAATCTCTGTGGGGACAAGACGCTACATGGCACCAGAAGTCCTYGAGGAAAAACTGTACACAAAGTGTATTTCTTCCTTTAAAAGAGCAGATGTGTATGCATTTGGACTTGTACTGTGGGAGATATCAAGACGATGTGTTTCTGGAGGTACCTCAAAATTTGATCSTCAACAGATCTTTTGCAATAAAATGTCACAAAATACAAAATCCTTCATGTTGGATCATCAAAATGTGTACAATGTCACCTTATTATTGTGATCCTTGTGTTCAAGACTGTTGTATAACATTTCTGTGTCTCACAGTGTGGTGGATTTTGTAGTCTGTGACTATTTTGCTTCAAAAGGCTATGTCTAGATACAATCTACTAGTGTAGTGTAACCAATCAGAATGCAGAACGAGTGTTAGACTGTACATATGTACTCAGTCCTGGGTATTATGTCACTTCTTGTTCAGAGTGGGTTATGCAGGTAGCATTGACGTATTTAAGGCATTTAAGAGAATGCACATTAACATAAATAAAAAGAAATGATATAAACGCTGAAAATCTCTCCTCTTATTTAGGTATTGTTGAAGAATATCAACCACCTTACTATGATATGGTCAACAATGATCCCACAGTGGAAGAAATGAAGAARGTGGTTGTCACTGAAAACAAGCGRCCCTCCTTACCAAACAGATGGGTGGGAGATCCGGTAAGACTTGCTAAAGACAAATGTGAAAAAAGAAGAAATAAATAAACAAATACACTTTTGCTATATGCTATCCACTTCTAAATTAATGTATTGTTATAGAAAATACCTGTGTTGAAATACCTATAAGCCTTATTATTTTCCATTATRGCTGGTAGAGAATGCTAAGAATATGTTCTTGGCAACAATAAATTATTGACTGACATTCTTTACAGTCAAGAATTGGTTAACAAGAACCACAGCACTACTTATTAACATCTTAGTTGTTGCATTATATTTCCACTGAATCAAATTAGTGGTAAAGATATCATAGATAATTTCGTTTTGTCAGTGCTCTTGACAGCATTTCATTGTTATTTCTTTAGGTACTAAATGTCATGTCAAAGTTGACTAAAGAGTGCTGGAATGCAAATCCCTCAGCAAGACTAACAGCTTTGAGGGTAAAGAAAACGTTATCAAAGCTCATGGATACTCTAAAGCCACGAAACAATTCACTGAAGACTACCCCAATAATCAAAGATGTTGCCAATGTAAATATACACACTGACTCGACCAAAGATTTGGTTAAAGTTTAAACTTGACGCTGTCTCATAGTAAATCTATATATTATGCTGGATGGAGTGSATCTTACTCCTCAGATATAGAGAGAAATACTCTGAAATAAAATTACATGTAAAATAAAATTAGTACATATGTCACCCTAGAGTAAAACTCAGTATGGGTCTAAAATAACGGTTTATACGAATAGAGATATATAAACATGCTGAACTTAGTGTTATGGACATCAAAAATAGATGCATTTGTAGGTTTATCCGTATTCCAGCCGGATATTGAGTTYTGTGAAGCCATGTCTCGTGAAACTAAATGTTACAGGATGCGCCTAATTGAAAAAAAGTAGTCGGGCTCCAAAAGGCTACACCAAGGCGGTAAAGCCAAGGAAACATGGAAAGGAAAATATTATTAGTATAAAAGTGATTCAATGCCAAGATATTGCCTGCATTTAATAAAATGCTATGATGCGAAATGTTTAGGCAAATATGAATCGAATTTCTAAGTACTTAATTTTCCTACAGTGTTATCTGCGATGATATCATATTTTTGCGACGCGACAACGTTTTTTCAATTGGTGTATGAAGAAAGTATCGTAATAATAACATATAGCTATTTCCAAATAGCCGCCAGATACAACCTCAGCTTACTGTAGGTATTCAATAATGATCGATAGATAAAATTAAGTCTATTGCCCACAGTAATTGTCCAATTATTGGAATAGCTACAGTAGTAAACAAATAGTAGGAAATCTGTGACTGAAAGRCATTCTGCAAGTTTGCGATTTGTGCGATGATTTGAGATAACATTTTATGGATARGATATGAAAAAGAAGAAATATTCAAGTTTATTAAAGAACACTTCTGCTTCTTATAAACCATTAAGTCGGTTAAAATTGCATGCTTGTAGCAACTTGCCTTAGTCACATATACTGCATCTATAGTTTACTATATCTCTGTATTAGTACAGAGCTACCAAAGAATTAGCATGCTTYATTGTAGTCTTGTTAAATCTGTTGCTTGAGAATGCCGACAAGAACAGATTTTGARTWGACTATTTTAGTACGCAGAACAGCTATAATGCAAACAACGCTACTACAAGAACTGTAATTGTAAGTTTAGGTTATTGACAGAGAATCAYTGTTGGAAGAGAAATAAAAGAAATACAGTATTTTTTGTGATGGATGAAACATAAATGGGAAATCTTTATTCTTAATGGCTGTGATTTCTCGCATATTGTTGCTTTGGTAGTCAACAAAACAAAGTTAAGTCAACTATAACATGAGATTAGGGGGTGGACAGAGAACTTCTACCAGGACGTCAAACAACAGACTATTGAGACAACATTAAAGTGCCAAGATACCGCGGCCTTTCGCAGGCAGTTATGTCAAAGGATTTGTCATTAGTATCTGTTATTTATACCTCCAACATGGCCATCTGTACACATATATTTACGGCGTGTGGTACCCTTGACGATCCCCCTRGACCTATCCGACAGTTGTCAAGCTCTTCGCGCTCAGATTCAGGTCATCCTCGCATGGCGCTGGGTCCGAGTACAAGATTGATGTTACCRCGTTGGTTGATAGTTGTAATGATTACTCTGACACATCGTGTGGCTTCCTTCCCATCCAGGAAATCTTGCCTTGGCTTTCCAAGCAGTTTTAGTCGTGATAGATCGATACTACGGGTTTSTACAGCCTACACTTAAGGGAAGGGGGCACTAACTGTTTGGGTGGACTTTCCAATCACGAGACGTAAATCCCGTTTAGATCATTCAGCGATTAATTAATTTCACGTCGTGAAAATCAAATATTTTGAAGGGAAGGTAAACGTCACGAGGTTTGTTTCTCGAATTTTCTGTGACTGCGACTATGACGTTCCACAATGTGGAACAAAACGTCCCGTCATCTGAGAGCAAACCGTGTCTAAAAAAAATCCGTTARAGTAGAAAGTCCGACCTCAAATAGATGCGCTTTTTTGCGCGTCTACCTACAGGAGCAGAATTGAAATCTACTATGAGAAACTTTTGTACATATTTCAATATTGTACTGTATTGTCCATTCTTGATTTGAAAGCTCTGAGTAACTTTACTTTGCAAGTATAAGTCGTCTTAACAGGTCTTAAGACCAGTAATTGTAGAATTAAACAGTTCAGCTAGTGATTATCCTGGTCTGGAAACGACGCAACAAGGATTAGTTCGTGTCAGATCCAATCAACGCTATTTTCGACAGTATAAACTTTTCGACGTAAAAGGGACCAAGAATCAATCACGTAAAACAAACAAAAGTTTTCAACAACCAATAGAAGTATGATGATTTAAGCTTTGTTTGTATTAATATCATTAAAGCGGTAGACTGAGAGCTAAACTCGTTGCCACTAAGAACAAAGCCTTTAACACCTCATTAAAAAAAGCTATAAAGACTCGAGCTCCAACTAATTTAGAAATCAGGCGAGGATCAACAATCGGGGCATAAGTCGATTATCAACTTAAACTGGAGTTTAACTGTCTGTAGCAATAATAATTATGGATAGAAGGGTAAAGTTTCCTCACAACCTTGTATTCCATGATATGGTCAAAGATGGCGACTCATCGGAAATGACAAACTTCTTCAAACGACCGAGCGTGGCCGATCCTGAAGGTATCATCAACTCTCCCGGGGATCARGCAGGACCTGCTCTWCATACTCTCGTCAAAGAAGGAAATCTAAAGTGTGTTCGAGTACTGGTTAACCTTGGCGCTGACGTGAACATGCCAAACGAAGAAGGATGGAGGCCGTTACACATTTGTGCTTTGACAAACAATATAGACGTCGCTAAGTTTTTGGTGAAAAGAGGCGCCAAYCCCGACTTGACCGATCACCAAGGAAGAACTCCTGTGGATTTAACAGATGATTTCGACTTGATTGAACTATTAATGATGTATTCACCAGAAGAGACACGGCGAAAAAGTATGGCYAAATAGAAAACGAGTTTGATGGGAACCATAGTGAATATYTTAACGTTATTCCGCTAATAGAGTAACACTAAAACRAACACGTTTGTACTGTTCTAGACGACTATGCGCTAATCAACGCAGGGAAACTTTACGTTTAACCGAGAAAAATGACAAATCCCTGCAGAAAAATGAYTACGCAAGTATAGTTTCATCAGGARGCTTTATTGATGGCACATTGAGTAAAGAAATCCCGCGYAAACAGGTTCAAAGATTTTAATAAATCTGAGTGATTGCAACTTSTTATTAAAACTTYYACACTTATTTAAAATATATCCTTTAAGTTCATTTGTTTTGGAAGAATGTACAATGACGGTAAATGTATAGAAAAGAGGGGTAAATTGGTATTTGTCGTTCAATTAATACTTTCAATACTTGATTTGTGGTATATATTTGAAGCTCAAAGACAAAAAACTTTGTGGATCCTTTGCTTTTAATCGTTTTTGGATTTTAGTGTTAAGACACGCCAATTTATCGTGAGTTTTACGTAAGGGCTGTCTGCAGTATATAGAGCCTTTTCATCGTTGCTGCTTTTGACAAAAGCACTCAAAAGTCGATAAAAGGAAAAAAAACTCTAAACCAGTTTCACTCTAATGCTATTACGTATGACGTCACATGTGTATGACGTATTTCCCAGATAAATAAAATACTCTCTAAAATAATAAAAATTTTGRTGCCATTTCTCATTGCCATTATTTTTTCGGAAACATTCTAATAAATAGTATTGTCCATATGAAAACAAACACGACTAACGCCAGTGCAATCCACATCCACATTGAGCAGTATCTACTTGTAATCTCCTCGAGACGGTCTGATTCATGCTTTAATTTGACGAAGTTTGAGTCAACAAGCCGCGTGGATGCTTCAAGTGACTAGATAAAAACAAAAGAACGATTAGACAAGAATATATAGTAAACACTTGTGGTTTTTCAATTCATGGAAAATTCAAAGTGACGCAAATTAGCTCATGCAGGGGACTTTYTCTTGTGGAAATAGTATTAATTGAATTCCCAGCATGAGCCSTGCTAGTAGCAGTCCAAAACGGARAATACAATTAAGTCAAAYACTTCCTATATTCATGGAAACAACAACACCTCTTTTAGACGAAATTAGATTCAAGGAAGTCCGTCCTTCAATAGTATGCTCAAGGGGAAATTGCATTTTATCACTAGACAGATAGTCTAAACAATGACGTTTTCATCCCACCACACTAATATCAAGAAGGCAAAACAGAAAACTCAGGTGTCAACAAGCTTCACCACYGGAATCAATTTGAACAAAAGAAACATACTGAATGTCGTCAATAAAAAGAAGATCATCATCATCTTCAATGCTTGATTAGATAGAGTACAAACACTAAACACTGTGCAACATAAATACCACTAAATACTGCTAAATTATGCTAATTCTATTATTTTCTATTGTTTAATTAACACTATTTTGTAGTAAATAGTGGAAAATATTGCACACATTTAATGTTTGTACTCTACTTATGATGCAAGCCATAAGTTTGTTGTCAAACTATTGTTGATAACAATAGAAAAGAAAAAAAAATGAAAACGAGGCTTAATGGCCTTGCAGGAGTTGAGATTGTAAATATCTTAAGCATTCCTGAATTCAAGAAAATCGCTTGTGTGCAGTAAAAATACATGTTCTGAACGTTACTGTTAAAATTATTAAAAACACTATATTTTTCAATTCCTAAGCTACTACCAGTTTATTTGTGAGAGTGTATTGAGGCCCAAAGATAAAGTCGACACATGTGTACATGTATAAATATAGCAGTAAATTATAAAAGATACTTATCAACTCAACAACTTAAATTTTAGCATTTTTGATAATTAAGAACAGTAAAATTTTAAAGATGTAAGATCCCAACATACAATACAATTTCTGTCAGATTCGGCTCTAAATTACTAATGAAAAAAAAAACAAAAAAAAACACCTTGAAAGCTACAAAACATGCAAAAACACACCTTATCTTTGATTTTGACTCTTAAAAGGTACAACAATCATCACCACTGTCTGAAATAGAGAAGCTTATGGAGTCTCCTACCTTATTATCTTGTTGGATGATATTATTTGCCATCATCGATGTATGTTTTAGACTTTGAGCCATTTTCACCATGTCRTCAGCAATTTTTTCTTGCATGTTGTGATGATATTGCAAAACTGCATCAATGTCTTTTTCTTTTKCTTTATTGCTATCATCACCTTGTCTAAAATATCACAGAAATTCAAATTGGTGTCACCAATATATTGTCATCTAAACTATGACTTGTGGAATTGTTCTAACTTTGAGTGATATGAATGAAGTAAGCTGTACCTTCTGTTTCTGATACCTTGAGAGCCTTAAAAGTAAAAAAGCAAAAGTTAGAAATATAATGTATTATCTTTAAGACTTGGGAAAGAATTAAAACCATGCCTTTTTAAAGTSCCACTGCTCAAAACCTTACCCGTCAGAACGTTTACCAAGAAGCCATATAAATCACTTGTGGGAATTTTGTTTTGACAATAAAATCATAGTCCATCATACCTCTGCTAGGGGTTAAAATTCAGTAAACTACAGGTTTGTCTTTCAGAATCATTTTACAACATTTTTTTACAAATTTTTTTTTCATTTTTGTTTGTTTGTTTGTTTTACTTTAACGTTGCAGCTAGAATGTTGCATGATAAAGAAATTGAGATGTCTCTGGCTTGAAAAATCAAATTTATTGCAAACGTTTCGATCGCAACTGTGATCTTCTTCAGTGCAGTGGCAAAATGCAAAGCGTGCACGCATGACTTACAGTTTTCACACACAAAATACAAGATTAGGATGTGCGCTGTTTTTTGTTGTGTTTTTTCAATTAAACTTACTTGTTCCCATCAATTCATCCCTCATTTCTTTCTCAATTCTTGCTTTGGTTTTAATATGCAATTCATGAACTTTCTCTGGGTTTGTGTTGGTTTTTGATGGTATGTGAGTTACAGGTCTTGCTAGCTGCTGACTTGCAATGGCCTTATCATTGATAGTATCCTTAACAAATACACAATAAAAGAAATATCAGAGCAAAATAGTTTGTATAACCTAAAACAGAATCATAAATGTGAATGGGTGAATAAAAAAGAAATGAAAATTTGATCTATAATATTACCTTTCTTTCAGTTTCAATCAGTCCTTTCAAGAAATTGACCCGTTTTGTGTACTCACTCATCTTATCAGGATTTGGTTTACTGCATTAAAAAGGAGATCAGAAGTCATGCCTCAAGTTACATATATATGAAAATGCCAAATACTAGAAAATAATGTTGCATGACAAGCTACAAGAGACAAAAAAAAATGGGAAAGCAAATTAACTTTAAAAAAATTCTAGAAGAGCTTTATGATTAGATTATACATATTTCGTTTTAATCATAAAAACATTAGAGGTTCAGTCTAACATGAATATTGTAAGAGTTTCAAGCCTGATGCAATAATTGGGAATCAGYCAGACATTCGACAATGATCCTCTTGCTTTTCAGGTGGGAAGGAAAATAAGACCAGAAAACAGATCTGTTTGAAGAGCAATTATCAAAGGACACAAGCGTAATTGCATGTTTTTATGTTAAATATTTTTTTGCAGAACGCTGACAAGTCTGAACTAAGCTTACTGTCATATCAGCTTCCATATTTCATATAAATTTTTCATCTAACATCAAATTAATTAAGTTCTACCTTTCCATTTTGGCCAAGTCACTCAGCTGATTCTGTAAGGCACCAACATACTAGAAAAAATATTGGCAAGGAATTAATTGAAAATGTGAACACAGTACAGAAATGTTTATAGCTTCTAAAAACAGCTGAGGTAAGTAGGTAATACGTGGCCATGGTAAAGCTTATCTAGATGCTTAATTATTTACATTTTTTGAAAAATAAATCATCATTTCAAGGCACCTTCTCAAGTCTCCATTCTACTTCTTTTTTCTTGTCTTGTTGTTCGTTAGCCATTGATTCACAACGCCGTAAAAGTCTTTGCAGACTTATTTCCAACCTGCAAGGCGCCATCTTGGATAATAATGTAGTSCCAGGCCTTTTGGTTGACTGCCACAGGAAGCCCGCTCTCAATAATATGAACGGCCTTCTCACCCCCTCTTGATGTGGTTCGCACATGTGTGAACGGGAGATTTCTCCTTTTGATCTTCTTTTTAATTATGTATGATTAACGAAAGKAATTACGCTCTGCATAGACTATAAAAATTTATTTGAGTTCACCATGCAATATCTACAGCTACATTTTTCATAGGAATACCTTGGAAACTATAGAATTACCACAAATAATATACATCCAAATTTATCCATTACAAACTCGAGATTAATAACTCTGGCCTAAAAGGGCCATAGATCACCTATTATAATAGATTACACTTTTCTTTTCTTGGTCGATGGGCGTCAGTACATAAAGTGTTTGCTTTTTTGTTTTTTTGTTTTTTTCTACTTCTAATCTCAAAACCTGTATATAAGTGAAATTTRATTATTTACAAAAGTTTATAGTTACTAGCGTCTCATTTCTTGACTTACAGTTTTCTATACATTTTTTTTTATTTCTATACTCATTTAAAGTATACTAGTGCATTCAAAGTATACTAGTGTGATATTACTTTGCCAGTTGAAAAAAAAAAAAAACACGCAAAAACCTGTAAAGAGTCATAACGAATGGGTTTCAAAAATACTGCATTGCAACTTTTAGAAAGAGTATTTAGAATGAAGAATAMTGCAAATATCAGACGTTTCGGAGTGATACTAACTCCATTATCAAGGATAAACTTTAATTGAAGAATACAAACTTGCTTTTGATTATAAAAAGCAAAYAATATTGTTCTTTTTCTAAATGGGTTCACGAGTTAAATATTGGGAAACATACAAGATCTATAATACAACGCCTACAGAAGCTATTTCTTCAGATKTCGCATTTTTCACTGGCTAAGTAAAACCACAAACAAAAGTTGAARTRATCGTGCATGCTAATGCCTCTGCGAAGACCACTCATTTTCAGAGTGTCCCAAAAGCTCTTCAATGGTTTCTCTGACATTGTTGTTGTGCTTACGTAAAAGTCGTTCATTMAGTTTACGGTCACAGAATCCCATCTCAATAAGACGGTCCATTGCATTGTTAGGCTGGCGGTTTACAGGCCACACTAAGGGGGGAGGGGGAGGGGCATCCTGYGGATTTAATCAAAAGAATCAATCAAATTCATGTTCTTTACAACCTCTTTTAAGAGTATAACATATTAAAATAATACAGTAAAATAATCATAGCTGTTCGGATGTGAAAGTCATAAACTAGTCTGCAATGCACAAGATACATTGGCAATCTTTGTCTCCCAGTTGAATACCTATTCTACCAGGTAGGACAGTAGGAATACTTACAAACTCGGAACGAGGACCACGACTGCTTACTGTGACTTCACAATCCTCTTCTGGCTTATAAACTGCTGTCGCCTGGTGGCTRCCGTTAATAAGATTGTCCACTGTGGCAAATGCTGCTCTACCAGCCATAGTAACAGCATCTATGGCTGTRGTCAAAACCTCGGAAACAAGATTGTTGGGATCTCTSGTCTCCCCCTCGTCAGACCTAGTCCTCTTTGGTTCAACAACGGTAGTAGGCTGTGTAACAAGAGGAATACTGTCTCCCTTGGGAACACTCGGTTGCCTGGATATAGGCGTTTCTGTGTTCAAAGGAGTTTCTTTTGGTAAAACAGGAGGAGAGACAATCTCGCTAGTATCTTGGTCTGATTCACTTGTCATTTCACCTTGCTGAGGAGTGGAGGAAACTATTTTCGACATCGAATTAGTGCTGTCCAATAACTGTCTTTCATTAGTGGTCACGTGCATATTTGGCAAACTGGATGGTCCATTAAACTCAGACAGGCTATTGTCTGGTCCAAGTGTCTCAAGAGACTTCAAGAAGGTGGAAYTTCTGTATGGTTTGAAATCAGTGATCACAACAGGGAAAGGGTTTGATGTAAGGGGTGCATCAGGAACAAAACATGGTGGAATAAGAACAGTAAAGTCATCTAGTGATGAATCACTTTCTTCGCCATCTGAATCTAGATCATAAATCAAAGATTGTTATTAAAATCACATTTTTCCATTTTGTATAACAGTGTTTGTTTAAAATAAGTGATTTTGCCTTTGACAACAGCTTTTCCTTACCATCACTGAATGACCAATTGTCCGTATTTCTTCTTTCTCTTGAATGTAACGTACGTTCAGCGGACACGTTAGCTATTTCAACATCATGAACACATCCTGCATCCCACTCTAGGTCTTGTCTCACTAATGATGCTTCTTGTTTGGTCTCTAGGCTGCGTCCCACATTATTACAGCCAGCTTCAGCAGTTTCTTCAGAGCTGAGGTATTCTGAGCTGGACTCATCATCCATAACCTCTGTCTTCAGCAAAGGTTCGTGGACAAGTTTGACCTGAGGTTCARCTGGTGTGTCATTCTTAAAAGCGGTGTCTACCAGAGAACTTTGGTCGTGGGTAACATCACCCTCATCTTTCAAACATTATAACAAATACTATTATTAATATATTACCTCAAGAAAATGAYCAAACTCAAATACTGCAYACGTACAAAAGACTATCAACTACAACAAGTAACACAAGRAATACCTTTTTTCACTGGTACTYGAATCTCACACCACAAGTGTGGRCCAAATGTATGCAGTCCATATGAAAGCTGCCATTTGCTACAAATAACAAGTGACGGAGTTCAACAAACAAATATCATCAAAGACRAAATTCAGTCGAAAACGTTTTCCAGCTTAGTTTTCTTGCATGTAAAAAGTTGTATCCCTTGTCAATAAACTTTCATAGCAACATTTTAAATATTGGCAAAAATATATATTAYAAAAATAGGAATAACTATATACCATAACTATATACCTGGTATAAGTTCCAGGAATTTCAGGTGCAACAAACTCCACRGAAACCATATCACTTGCACCGGGTTTAAGGAATGGTACCGGYGTGGGGAATCCCATAATACTTCCTTCAATGCATTCCAACTGACAGAACAAAACAGCCATGAAAATTACATATCAAAAGAGTTAAGTTTGACGATGGAACAGTAGATTTAGTAGTAAAAAAGGTATATAGAGTAACTCATGAAAAGCGATAGCTGCAATAGCTGCAATGTGCTCATGCTTGTCTACAAGTACAAAGATCAATTGTTATTACCGTAATCCATTGATTCCAAGCAATGTCTCCTACATTTTTTATGACCCATGACTTCAAGAACTAAAAACAAATTAATATATCATTGTAAAACAATACAATACAAATGTACTTTTGATATAGTTATATTTTGCATAGAAATAACGTTTAAAAATATCAAACATTTAAAAAAAATACAGGATAAAACTACAGCCAAAGAAATAAAATGACTGTACCTTTTGCCCTGGGAGTACAATACTTCCATCAGGATGGCTGGCGTCACATTCATATGCAGCTCTSAGTCTTTCTTGTCTGAATTTTCAGTTGAAAGTATATCATTTTCCTATATTTCTAATATAAAGCACTCTGGTATTGTACTTACATATGCATTATATTAGACTTTCCACCTTCTGGTTTCTCCTTTGTTTTGTCAACCTTTTTAGCTTTTTCTCTCTTTCTCCTTTCCTTTTCTTGTGCCTTGAGAGCATGTTTCTGTTCCTTCAKGGCCCGTTTTCTTTCTCTCTCAGCCTCCTTGGCTGCTCTTCTCAACACCTTCTCCTTCTGYTTCTTCTCACAGTTTCTTTTGTACACAGATTTTTTAAAGATTGAGACCATTTCACCATGTCTACGTCCTATGCCAGGAGCAGGGTATCTCAGTTTCACAAACACATGCTCAATATTGTGAATGCCAGATTTATCCTCACAGAGTTCGCACAAATCAAAATCCTTGCAGTTGCTGCAAATAATAATAAGAGCTGTAAGTAATAGCTAAGCAGAATACATTTGAGGAGKAGTATTATACAGTATTAGTAATGTCAACAGTAGAAAATTACAAATCAATGACAAYGTTTACCAGCATTTGTATCKGATTCCTTGGACCTCTAYACCACAGCTGTCACAAGTGATGCCCTTGTGAATCACAATATCTAAACAAACACAAATAACAATAAGCCCAACTATACCTGGTATGAATGAGCTACATTTTCATCAGTCATAGGARGGATCTAACCTGGTGGAGTGCAGTTTTCTTGAGGGGTGTTACASGGYGGTGCAGGTACTTTTGGAGCTTGAAGACGGAGAACAGTTTCATTCACAATAATCTCCATGGACTAGTAARTAAGATAATTTTAAAAGTCATTATTTGGCAAAGAACAATATACATATATAATACAGAATATAAAAAAGCCATGACTAAGTTTCAAAATATTACTCAATTCGCTAACTCTTGATGTAACACTGTCAAACAATATATAGCTTCAATGCAAAAAGGGCATTGGCCAACCAGCATGAAGTTGTGTCTTGATTTACAAAACTAGTTGAAGAAAGAGTTTCACAGGTTGATTCACATTACTCACTTCTTTGACAACTTCTTTTACAATTTCTTTCATCTCAGCATTACTTTTTCCAGGTATTTTTGSTGTGGTCATTCCATCATCAAAGCAGATCAGGTTTGGTTCTGTGTTGCCATTTTCACAGGATGGWAAAGTTGCTTCAGGACCATCAGGGACAGTATCAACACTAGAATTGTCATCTTGTGMCTCCACAAATTCAAGACCTTCATCTTCAAACAAGGAAGGTCCSTCACTGCTGTTCACCAACACAAAGGGCTCACTTGAAGATTCTGGAGATGAGTTGAGCAAAGGCACTTCACACTCAACACTTGTCACTTGTATGGTGGTTTCTTTCTGCTTGTTTTCAAGTCTTTTATTCATTGCTCCAAACATGGGCGATATATCTTCAGCCAGCTGTGCATAACAGCCYTTCTTCTTTGCATGCTTCTTCGTTCTTTTTGTCTTGTTCTTAAAATTTKGATCTTGYTGTTGTTGGCAGTCAGAAATATCAATCGATGATAGTGGGATTTGCTTTAATGCTTGTTCTTCTATCTCTTTAGAATTTGCAGTGCCATYTTCACCACTGACTTTACTGTGAGCTGTTTGGAAAGGATCATTAAGAGATAGTYTACTCAATTCARAAGACATGGCTTTCTCAAGTGAACTGTAGTGTGTCTTCTTGCTAGCTTGTTGTTCTTCAAAATGACCAAACCAACCCCTGGATGCACCCAACCCTGGCTTTGGAGAGACACTTTCATCTTGTTGAGAATCATTCACAAAA